AACTAAACAATTAGTTTATTAGTACTTATAACAGAGGCACTTTGCGTTTGAACATTCAAAAATGTAAACAGAGGAAGCCTTACTGCAACCTGGCTTTGTGAACAACTTTGAGAATTATTCATAAATTTTAGTAAGTAGCCCCAGATCATTACACTCTCACTACCATGTCTCCACTTTGGATGCAATTTTTTTTTTCTGAAATGTGTTTGTTTTACTCAAGATGTAACAACAGGTTACATCTTGTTGTAACCTAAAAAAAATAAATAAATAAAACATGCACTTTTGTCTAATCAGTCCACAAAATATTAACCATAAAAAATGGAGGTAATTCAAAGTGCATGTTTTATTTATTTATTTTATTTATTTAATCTAGATTTGACAAGAGGGATAATTGCTTCAACCAGTTCAGTTGGAATAACCTTTTCGTTTACTCATCATATTATCTATCCAATATTAAAATCTGCGATAATCTGGAACAAACAAGTAAGACCATAAAAAAATCTAAAATACATAAAAACTTTTTCACAGCTGTGTTTGTAGCAAATTCATTTAAAACATTCATCATTCTGGCTGCTTGTCCCATCGACTCTCATAGAAGTAAAAAAAAAAAAAACAGAAAGAAAAAAAAAACACTTGAAAATCTTTTGGCAACTCGTCCATGTCACGATGCAAGGCGCTGAAATGAAGCAGAGGTTAAAAGAAAAACTCATAAAGGTCGTCGCTGTGACCTTTATGGGTAAAGGTCACAGCAAACAAAAAAAAAAAACACCAATTGTGCCAAAACTGGCTCCTTAGTAACATTTTCACACTTATCCTACATTTAATCGACTAAAGAAAAAGAAAATAGTACATTGAATCTCATGTGAAAAGTTAACATTGGTTTTTTTGTTGGGGGTTTTTCCCAATGCACGAGCAGAAGGGGGAATAAGTTCCACTCGGTTCGTGGGAAGCCGTCACCAGGAGCGGAAACGGGTTCGGGATTGGAATGGAAGCAGCTGAAACGTGTTGAAGCGGCGACGCGGCTGGTGACGTTTCCTCGTCGCCTCGCAGGAGATGCGTTTGATCCGCAGCCCGTGTCAGTCGGCAGGCTGCAACGAGCCGTTTTATTGGGTTTAATAAAGCGAAGCGTGTTAACAGCTGAACACAGACACGCCCCCCTCCGGTCCCCCCAGCAACCAATGTGTCTCTTTCACCTCCAAAGCAAAGCAAAGCAAAGCAAAGGGCCCGCTGACTCCGAGCAGAAACAAACCATCACAGGACTCTTACAAAGAAAACACTGGAGAAAAGGTTCAAAGTTTTCTCCTTTTTTTTTTGTAGACACTGCAAAAAAATATCCTGAAGATCTTGATTTAGCCTATTCAATTTTAGCAACGTCACTGAGAGACTAGGAGGTAAAAAAAAAAACACCCAAGATTCCTTAAGGAGATGTGGTTCATATTGTTGTTGTTTTTTGTGTGTGTTTTTTGTTGTTGTTGTTTGTTTGTTTGTTTGTTTGTTAGAGGATTTTTTAAATTTTATTTTATTTTATTTTTTGGCACTTCAAACAAGGGCTTGGACAATAAATCATTAATATAGCCTATGTCATGACAGATGCATGATCAGTACCAATAGATGTCTGATGGAATATTCAGTAAGTTCGCTGAACTCCAATCCAGAGCCTCACAGCATTCTGGGGGATGTAGGCGGAGGAAAGGCTCGCTGAGAGAAGTGGGTGGCATCAACATGCCTCAGAACCGCCAGAAAATAACAAGAAAAAGACAAAAACAACGACGTGCAGTGAAAACTGAGGATAAAGCAGAAAAGCCCATGCCACCAGATTGACAGTTACTTCAAATATTTGCAACAATTAACTACTCGATAATTATCGATAGCCTGATTCAGCAGAAACCATCACATAAAATAAAAGCCCCAGAACACACGGCGAGGTTTTCGACGTCATAGCGCGTCGAAAATCCTGAAATGATTCAAAAGTCACTGCGGTGACTTTTAATCTGCGTTCATTTTCCTAAATGGTTCTTTTTACTGAAGCCTTAAAGTCGCCATGTTGGGGCCCATCTGGTCGGGCCGGTGTCGGCGGTGGGAGGTTTTGATCTGCGGCTTGTGTCCGCGCGCTGGCCGCAACGAGCCGTTTCATTGGGTCCAGTTAAAGCAGAGCGTGCCAGCCGCTGTCATCCGAGCCGCGGAGCCAAACCTCCCCACGTGCTCCAAGAGCAGCAGAACAAAAAACAGGCGGACCCCCCGCCGCCGGACCTCGGACAGCGAGGGTCCGCGCGGCCAGAAGGAGTCCATTATGCTCCGTGTGTGTCCCCGGCCCGGCCCCACGCTGCGCGTGTCTGTAAAAAGGCCCCGGCTCGGAACCGGCAGAGCTCTGGCACACGGTGCCCGGGACACGCCGTTAAATCCCATTAAGAGTCTGTCCGGAGAGAGCCAGTGACTGTCAGTCATCGTGAGGCCCTCCCCGCAGGAAGCCGCAGCACTTTTAATTAACTCTTAAAAAAAAACAAGATGCACACTTCCAGACTGATGAGCTTTTTAATGTGTCACAACAACAAGGCTGCAACCTGCAGAGGTTAAAAAAAGAAAAAAAAAAAAGCACGACCCTCGTGAACCAAACTTCACCTTTCAGTCCAAACTCTTGGGGAGGGCATGGGCGATGGAGTGGTTCTCCTGAACCCAATGATTTACTTAGTTCACTGTAACAAGCCCTGCAGCCTTCACTTGTGTTTATTTAAATATTTTAATGATTTGAATCTATGCAAATCTGACGCTAAAGTTTGCTTCACTCACACCAGACGATCACAAACACTGCAGGAAAAGAAAGCAAACTTTTTCTCTCTCCAGGCGTGAGAGTAAATCTGTCGTTGTGGAAATCCCGTTGGGATTGATAAAATGGTTTGAACTTGCTCAGTCCGAGGTGACAGAATTGGCCTCTTATTTTAAGGCCTCAAATCATCGTCTCCTTGTAAAAAAAAAAAAAAGAGAGAGAGAGATAGAAACAAAGAAGTTAGCCGAGGTATGAGGAAGAGAACTGAGGATCTCCTGAAGGCTTGTAAAATTTCCAGATGCATGAAATTGTCACGTTCACCTGCATAAACAATGACATGCAAGTATAAACAGAAGCTAAGACGTAACAGTTTGTAAGGAGAAGCCAAACAAGGTGATCCAAGTCAGGTTATCCCCAATAATAATAATAATAATAATAATAATTTTTAAGAAAGGCTCATATCAACATGCGCTGAAGGACCAATCAAAGAGGAAGAAGCCGTCGCATCAAAGGTTGGATTGCTCAAATGCACTCAGGGACAAACATCCGCCGGAGTTACATTCCTCAATCTCAACTCAACTCTGGAACAAACTTCCAGAAAACTGCAAAGACGCTGAAACGCTGAGTTCCTCTAAATAAAAACAAAACAAAAAAATAGCACCTGTTTAGAGCTTTGTGGCAAGCAGAACATCGATCGACATATTGGAGGCGCATTTGCTTGATGATTCTGAAGACATTTTACAAAATGCAATGTTTATCGCTCGTTTTCTGTTGGCTGCCTTATGTTTTTATTTTGTGAAGCTCTTTGAACTGCCATGCTGCTGAAATCTGTTATGCAGGTAAACCTGACTTGACTTTTGGCCCATTATTGAGCACAGGAGCAAAATAACACACATTTCTTTATATTTGGGAGAAAAAGGGAAAAGGCTTAACGACACTTTCCCCAACTGTGAAGAAAACAGGGAGAGAGAAAAAAAAATCATTGAATTGAAATATTTTTGTACCATTTCAAGACTTGAACTAAAACATTAAAGCATTTGGAGCAAATGGGTCCTCCAAATGAACAATGATATTGAGTATGCAGCTCCACGACATAAAAAAATAAATAAAATAAAAAATAAAAACAATGCCCACACAAATCCGCCACACAAAGCCGCCACTCTAATCTCCACGAAAACGTACTGGCAGAGCTGAAAAGTTTGGTGTCAGAAAGACAGTTCAGAAACCTGACTTGGATCAAGAAGTACCATCAGGAACAATGAGCAAAAAATAAATAAAAAATGATGGAAGAATATCCAAAACTCAAGAGTGACATGTTTTAAACTTCTACATTTTCAAGAAATTTTAAATGTCAGCTCTCTTTTTAGCAAATAGTTTGCTAAAACTCTATTTGCACCTTCATAAATGAACAGAACAAATCAATTTTAACATCTGCACTGCTACCATCCACATTAAACTTGATTTAAAATGACAGAACTGCAGTAACTTTGGAAATGCTGCAAATATAAAATGCTGACCTCTCTCTTTGTGACCATCATAAAATCTGCCTCATTTTAAATGAAACATGAATCACTCCTTGAGTTTACTTTAACTTGTCTTTTCTATTAGTCTTTCCATTTATACTTAAATGTAAGGTTTTTTTTAAAAAAAATTCTCCACTTTCATTTCTATTTTCTTTACTTATCCCGCTTCTGACTTAGGCTACGTCATAATTGTTTATTCAGTAACGTCAGTCAATTCAATAATTATTCACCCATTTGCCAAAATTCCACTGACATTCTTATAGTTGATAAACTATTTAAACATCAAAATGTGACAAAAATATGAAATACATTTGTAGCAACTGTTGTGAACGGTCAGGCAAAAAGAAACTCACCTATAGATGCGCACACCAAAAATATTTCAATAACAGCGCTGCACAAGTTCTGTCACTCTGATTTGAGGACAGTTTAATATTTACTCGAAACAGATTCAAGGGCTGAAATGTGCAAATAACTTTGCAGCAGATTTTATTTGAGAGTGTTTATGATTTGAATAGGCAGCAAAAGGCCCTCCAAAAACCGCGGGCATCACTGGTCCAAGTCGGACGGGATGTTTCCTCTCCTGCACCCTCCTCGGTCCACATCGCTCACTGACTCGCTTCTAATCCCTTTTTGATGAACTTGGTTAATGGACCTCCTGCAGTGGCTTTGGCTCTGTTCATTAGGCAGCACACGACCTCCTCCACGCCCCCGGATTCACACAAGCCGCGTCCCCACCCAACCCCCGTGTCTCTCGGGGTCCATAAATTCCCGTCCCAAGAGTTGGGGAAGTTTGAATTTGCGCTTCCGTTCCCCAGCGCCGTTCTGGTTCTCCTTCAGAGGAACAAGTGGAGACATGCCGCCGCGTAAGAGCCTGTTTGCGCCCTTCATCACTGCAACTGCGGAGGGCGGGGTCGGCCCCGCGGCCCCCGTGGACCTCAGCGGGGACATCCACGCCCTGCTGCAGCGGACCCGAGCGCAGGAGCAGGCCGAGGCGGCGCGCTCCAGAGACAGCCGTGACTTCCGCGAGGCGTCCCCGTGCGCCATCGTGGAGCTCCGGCTGGGCCCCGCGCTGCACTACCTGCAGCCGGACAGGTGCGCCCTGGAGCGGGCGCAGAGGCGGCGGCGCCTGGCCGCCAACGCCCGGGAGAGGAGAAGAATGCTCGGACTGAACGTGGCGTTCGACCGGCTGCGGAGCGTCATCCCGAACCTGGAGAGCGAGAAGAAGCTGTCCAAATCGGAGACTCTGCAGATGGCGCAGATTTACATCAGCACCCTGACTGAGCTGCTGCAGGACGAGACCGGGACCTGCGGGCCGTCGGAACCGAACAGAGCTGAACCTGAGGGTGAGGTTCGGAACGCGGAGAGGAGCAGATAACCGGAACGCGTGATAGAAACCGAGGGACACTAAAAGACTCACATTTTCTTTCTTTTTTTTTTTTTACTGACTAATTGTAAATAAATACTGCAATAATGTTTCTGTCTGCAGCTTTTTATATTCAGGTCATTTAAAATATTTCATATTTCTTTTTCTTCCCCTTATCATAAAAATATAGTCAAAAAAAAAAAAAACAATCCGGCAGTTACTGAAAGTAGCAATTTTTATTATTTTAAAATTATATACATGTAACCAAAGACACAAGTCCGCAAATTGGTACAAAGATCAAGTTTTCCTGCAGAAGCTCTCTCTCCATCCGTCCAAAATAAACAACACAACTGGGCGAGAAAAAAAAAAGCTTTAGAAAATGAAAAATAGAGTCCGATTCAGAAAAGTCTAGCATCTAAAATTAAATTTAACCCCGTCCCCCCCACCCCACTTTATAACCCCAGACCCACCCATTTTAACCCCCCAAACAACTTTCCCCCTACAAGAGGAAATCAATCTATGTACAGGGAGTATGTACAGAAAGCGCTTCCATTCATTCTGCAGACGTCCGGGAATAAAGCTCTGTAAACTTCTGTTTAAAGGAGTGTGAGGATTGAACTGCGTGTGTGGGTGCGTGCGTGTGATGACACGTGCCTCGAACAAATTAAGAAACCTCTGAAGAACCTGAATTTGGTATCTGAACAACAACATCGGAGCCAGTAGAAAGCTAAACTGGAAAACGTAGAACACATGTTTGAGGTGAGAGCACATGCTGCAGAGTTAAAGTGGGTAAAACTATGAATTACCAACACCGTTGGGTTTTACACAAGACTCAAAGGTGTTGGTTCCTGTGAAATGTTTATTGTTTGAGCGGTTTTGGGGCAGGGTTTTCTATCAAATGCCAAAAATGATTCTTGCTTCGGTAATGAGATTTATCCCCAACCTGATGTCCTCAGAATTGAACGAGACAATCGGCTTCTGGGTTCCAGAGCGTCCGAAACACACCATTTGAAGTCTGAGAAACCCAAAAGGAAACTAAACGGAAATTTCCACTTCGAGCTTTCAGGGACTTCAGAATACCTTGGTGTCACTATCAGCTCCTCTCAGTTTGCTCTCTGTTCAACTTCCTTCGTGTCTGCGTCCGTCTACAGCCACTTGTTAGGGATAAACAGGTGTTACATATAGAAAATGATCAGAAACATTTCATTTTGACAATGCAAACAAGAGAAAAAAAGCCTGTCTGTACTGATTGACGGAAAGGAACACGGCCCACAGTGATATTTCCAGGTGGTCCGGACTAGATTCTGTGCTTCTGACCCACAAAAGATCAATAGCTTTGATTCCTGAGCGTCTTTTCCACAGAGTCAAGAGGTGAAAAGGGAAGAGAAGCGCAAGATGAGAGGATGTCACTTTCAAAGCAAAAAGATCAATTTGGGCTTCTCTGGGTTTTTTCTTTTAAATCATCTTGTGATGTTTTGAAGCTTTCAGGACAGGAGGAAGTCGGCACAGAAAAAAACAAACCTTTGCAATCAGAGGGAAGATGGGCTGTGAGAAATTTTCAAACAGAAATTCGGAAAGGCAAAAAGGAGAAGTCGGATTGGAAATGAAACAACATCCCGAGGAACTATAAATAAAAACGAAAACAACTAAAAGCCAAACACTGCTTTAGGGTGACACTTCGGAACGGGTGGAGGAGCCAGATCATCCACTAATGACAACAGCGAACCATGAGGGAGGAGAAGGGCTGCCTTTGACTGGAGGAGGAGGCGTCTCTCAGCCGCAGAGGACAGTGTATGTGTTGGTGTGTGAGGCATAGAGTTTGTTTGTGTGTGTGTGTGTGTGTATGTGTGTCAGGCTTCTCTAGCAATGCTCCAGGTAGTCAATAATCCGGGAGATGGACTTCTGTCCTGCGGTGCCGACGTCGCACTGCAGACAGAGAGCAGAGTTTCAGCGGTTATAGGAAAAAAAAACCTTCGAAAAATCGTCAACGCTGACCTAATTCAGAAATCATTTTAATCTCTTCTAAGCTAAAAGCTAAAGAAAATCCACAATAAATTTTAACTCGTATCAGAATCATTACTGCTGTACTGCGCCTTTGCATCGTTTCACCCTAGAAATTGAGGAAAACCTTTTGTATTGTGATGTGTCTAACGACGGAGCCAGATGTGAGAAACTGTTTACGGCCGTCTGTCTCAACAGTCTCTGCTGTTCTTTCAGGCTGCAGGAGAGCGAGAGAGCCACTTTTCAAGCAGATAACAGGAAGGCTGAACATGTACGGCACTGTTAACGTGTCATCGCTTTCGACATGTCCCTCATTGATTTGGAAATGGTGGCAGGATTTTAGAAATCTCAGAGTTAAGCTGGCATCAGCTGTTAAAAATACTGACACGACAATCGCTGTACTGCTTGCCATGCTAGTTGCTAACACCCGCTGCTAAAACTAGCTTCTAATCTCAACTCCTTCGTGCTGCTGGCTTTGAAATAAGAGTAAATACAATTTTACAACGGCTCCTCCACTGTATCTCAAATATGCATAATCAATAACTGTTAAAAATAACACCAGGGGGCAATTTTTAAAACACCTGATCTGCCAATTCTGACTTTTCCCAATACCAATTTTTATGCCTTAAAAAACTAAGAAATAAATAAATTTTTGTTAGCTGATTGTTGATGCACTCCTACAGACGACTTCCTATCTCATCATCATAAAATCGACGCAAACATTGGCTGAAACTGGTGTCAATCCGTAAAAAAAAAAGTCTGTGCTATTCATCCTCGGGTAAAGGAATGTTCCGAAAGCTGCGACTCACTGTGAGGTTCATGAAGTTGAGGAACTTCTTCAGCATTTCTGTCATGATGGAGAAATCTCCTTTTGGCAGGTTTTCTCTCACAGTAGTCACATTCATCTGGTGGAAACAAACACGGAGGTAATTAATCATAGAAGCTACACGTCTGTGAGCGGGTTGTGAGGGGCAGCGCAGTGAGACTCACCGGGCTCCCCTGACACAGGCAGCCCAGCAGCAGTGCTGTGTACGAGGCCACGATGCTGTCCTCCATGTGCTTCCCCGCGTGCTGCAGAGCTACCGGGAAGAAAGCGGGATGTTTTATTCGCACAATTCGACCGAGTTCTGCCCAGAGAGCAAACCGGAGCGCCGCTCTACCTTTGTTTAGGTCCAACTGCTCGTCCTCCTCGTCGTTATTCTGCTTCGTGGCCTCCTCCTGTTTGTCTGAGGCGTTGTCGTTGGCGACCCACTGGATCTCGCCTCCGGTCTCCTGCCACTCGCCGCTCTGGTCGAGCGCCGGCTTCGGAGCCTCTTTGATGAGGTCGTCGGTCTGCGCCTCGGCCAGCACGGCGGCTCGCTCGCGCTGCAGGAACAGCTGAGGGGAAACGAGTCCAATCGTATTAAAAGATTTTTTTTTTTTGTTTTTCTTTAATTCTGATACTGGATTACATTAAGCCCATGAAAATTTGAAATGATGAGTTCAAAGCAAAATTTGGCTTTCCCAACATTAAATCTAATTTTATTGTAAATTTCTTGTCACAATAAGAATTCTGATTTATCCGTGTCTCAATAAATTCCAATTAAAGACATAAAAAAACAGCAAAAAAAAAAAACAACCAAAAAAAAAAAACAACCAAATGCTGTGCCATGCAGTCACAGTTACCAAAAAATGAAGTAATAAACAGTTTGTTGCGGTTTTTATCGTTATCTCTATAGCATCATGAAATATCAAGATGAAATTCTGAGCCCGTTTTGCCCAGCCCTACCTGTACGAGAGCTGCGATGGCGCTCAGTGGCCCGCCGCCGTTGCCACCACTGCCCAGGTCCTGATGCTGCTCGCCGAGCACGACGGTGGAGTCGCACGGCCCCTGACCCCCCTCCATCTCCATCTCCATCAGGAAGTATCTATTCCTGGCACTGTACTCCACCAGGTTGATCAGCAGCCCCAGACCCTGAAACGCACCGGAAGCGCAAAGGTCGATCGTTATTCCAGATTATGTTCAGCCGGGCGTTTTATTTCTCTGGGTCTTCCTGTCGGCTCGGGTATCGTGTGACGCGCACCAGCACTCTGACATCAAATCTCTGCTCCTGCGGAAGATACTGAGGGACTTTGAGAACGCAGTTCAGAGCGGTCGCTATCAAATCCTCCTGCTCGCCGGTTTTTGTGCTGCCCCACTCTGCATACACACGCACACACACAAAAAAAAAAATCATGAGAGCACTGGTCTCCAACTGCTTATTATGCGGTTTAAACATCTTCGCCGAGCGTTTTGGGAGCCTCACCGTTGTCGTGCGTCAGGTTGAGCAGGACTCCAATGATGGCCCTCATGCAGTTCTCCACTGCTTTCCCCACCGTGCCGCCGTCTGACTTCACCTCCCTGCTGTACCGCTGGATCATCTGCTCGCACCTCCTTAGAGCCCTGAGGCAGAAGGTTTAACACTTAATCGCAACATATCATCAACCCAGGAAATGGCGGATCGGAATCTAAACCCATGGATCGGGCACTTTCCCTTTTGCTGCGTTTTCAAGGAAAGCTTTCAAACTTTTCCAGCTCCACACTTTAGAGATAAAAAATAACTTAAATAAAATCATTTCAATGACATTGTTCAAAGTAAAAAACATAAGCCAACCCTTCTATTAATTGCACAGATCAATAAGTCGCTGACCTATTAGCAATGATAAATATTCACAATACAAACAAATCGTGTCAAGGTAAATGAGATCCCAGCTCAAATTAAATATTTTCTCGCCAAGTTTAGCAGATAGAAATCATTTTGCTAACTCTAATTGATCTAAAACAAGAAAAGTTTTGTCTGATCTAATTTCAGACAGTGACAGACAAAAAAATGTCTGTATTTTCTTTAGATTGCAGTTTTGTAATAAACTATTGAACGTTCAAAGTGTTCGATATCAAAACACTTTGAACAGCTTTAAACAGAAATCGGGCACTTTTCAAACCGTGACGACTCCCAACGGAAATTCTAAGCATTTTCAAGGATTTCTAACGCCTGAAGCGGTAGAAATGTGGCCAATGGGGTTTTAACTCCAAGACGAGTACGACTGAACTTC